CATCATGTTTTCATATTGTAAGTGTATGGGTATTTATTTCACATGTTTTTACAGGTGTGGGCAAATCTAATATTCTATCCAATTATAATTACGCTGCAGCTCAGGGACATTAGTTATGATCTGTGAACGTGTCCTAAAGTCATGTATGAATCTCATTCATTTAGCTCACTTTGCTCAAAGTTGTCTTTGGGAAAGGATTCCATGTCTGAACATCAGTGAAATCCTTGGATGTGCTGTGTGAGTCAGTCATTCTCAAGTCCAGGGTCTTGTTCAATGGCATGAAGCCCCCCTAACTCACTGATTCAGCTGGAGACCAGGACAGAGAATCAAACTTGCTTTGTTTGGTTGAGTTTTGTTTTCTTCATATTTAAAAAAAAAAAATGAAATGAAGTGGCTGATTTTCCAGGGTTGAAGCATCACTGATACCCAGAGCAGGAGCACGCTGGTAGGCCAGTCCCACAGCTTGGCAAAGCAGAGCTTTTTTCTAACTGGGGCCCTGTCACCGAGCTCCCAACCACACCTTTTCCAAGTTGATCTGATCCCTTGTCAACAGTTCAAGCCTCTTCCTTGACAACACCAATCCAGGAGAGAGCTTCAAATCCAGCCATCCTCAGGGTGTTCAAAGCTGGCTGCTTTCCAAGCAACCTCGGGGAGAGAGGCCTGTGCTTTCTAACAAAAGGAATGCTGCCTGAAGGCGTGGGTTGCCAGGTGTGGCAAAAAGTTAGTGAACCAGAAAGAAGGGATTTATCAGCCATTTAAAAGGGGCGGGGGAACCAGCCAACAATCAAATGACACCTGAGTCTGCTCCCATCAGCCTGAGCTATGCTTTGGAGTGAAAACTCTTTAAAAGAAAACGCAGTGGTCAGATTTCAGGTGGAAAAACAAAACAAAACGAAACAAAAAACATGTGAAGCTCAAATATTTGGATTTTCCTGAGGTGACTGGTGGTCTCCAGAAGGTCTCTCCAGCAAGAGTCGGGTGGAGCGTCAGTGATTTCTGCTGTTTAGAATACATTCCTTTGAATCTACTGAGGTTTTTTTGTTTTGTTGTTTGTTGTTTTTATTTCTAAGTTGACTTAGAAAGGCCTCTTGATTCTTGGAAAGCCACTAAATTTATTTCTATAATTAGGTTATTTTAAGCTAAGAGTCTTGGTATATAAGTTTGAAGGATTGCACATACTAATGCGTTTTCTATTTAAGTAAAATTTAGAGATGCGAATAGTCTCAGGAGACTCCCTTGGAAGCTTTTGTGTGAGCCTAGGCACTAACTTCGTGCTCAATACAAATCAATAGAACTAGTGTACTTTGGGGTACTCATCCCCTAGGGAGTCACTAATTCAATTATCTGTAGCCCTTAAAAAAAGTCACAATGAGGCTAATGAAATTTTTTTCTGAAGGAAATCTAGAGAAGGCACTAGATTTATTAACACAATTTCCACACAAGTTGTACAAAATTCAGTTTTAAAAACCTGTTTAATATCTAAGGAGACTTTATACCAGGGTTAAATTATACTAATAAAGAAGTATATTGTATGTCTGCAACTTCAAAAACCATTCTAAGACGACATTAAAACTTAGTGAGTTGTGGGATTTTTGTTGTTTTCTTTCTTTCTTTCTTTCTTTCTTTCTTTCTTTCTTTCTTTCTTTCATTCTTTCTTTCTTTCCTTCTTTCTTTTTAAATATCAGATACAGATGAAAAACCTAACAGTCTTTGGATTAGGAATAACTTGTGGGGGTTTTCATTAAAGTTGGGTGCAGCTTGCTGCATTTTGGTTAGTTGGATGTCTTCAGCAATTTTTCAAATGTTTTGGGTTTGGCAAAGTCCAAAATGTTTTTTGCCAAGACCCTCTCTTCCCCTTATTTTTGAAACCCGTGTGAAATGCAGGGATAACGTAATCCATATGTGTCTGATTCATTTACACTTAACTCATCAAAATGTTATTTTGTGAGACCCATTTAATATCCAAGAAACCTTTTGAGTCTTTTAAAGAGGAGTCTTTTGTCTTTGAACCAGGAAGTTGCATTTTTCCATGTGAATGGAGGTCTGGCTTTGAACAATTGGAGATGAGTTGATTTTTCAACTTAGATGCTTCAGAGTTTAAGTAGAATCAAAACTTGATATTATGTTCTTTTTGTCTGCATAAAGGAAAGGTCATTTTTAAAATATAGTCAGAGGAAGTAGAAAGAATTTGTGTCAAATCATTTAGGGGAAGACCTCATATGGAAGTTCGTATTGGGAATCAACAAAATTTAAAAAAAAAAATCATTCCTCGTCTGATTTTTCTTTCATCTCTGAATTAAATGGCTCCATTTTGTGTTCATGAGAATATTTTCTAAAAGGTGGTGGACTGTGAGTCATCAGTGTGAGAGAAGGAGGGGGCTGTCATTTTCATTTTTAAGATTACAATTTTTCTTAAAATGAACACATTATTAATTTTAATAATATCTATGGAGTTAATAAATTATTCTGAGACTAAGGCAGTTGACAATTGGCAGGAGTTTTATGTTCAGAGGTTTCTGGGGGAAAAACAACAACAAAAACAGGAGCCCATAAGTTTTCCAAATCCTGTATTATTTGACAGAATACATTGGAATTTTGAAACAGTACTGGGAACCAAAAACTCTGAGAGTGAAACTTCACAGAGGCTGCGTGGAGCCCACATGAGAAAGTAAAGTCTCTAAGACCCTCTGTGAACCACCCCCCACTCCGTAAAAACCTGCAGGAGCTTCTTTCTTCCAAGGCTCCTTAGAAGCAGTTAGCAAAGAAAGGCCATTGCCATAACTGCTAGTGAACATGCAGGCCACACCATGGAAACTAGCTGAAAATGTGATGCTGGGGTGACATTGCCAAGTTCAGCACTTCTATAAAGACCTGCTAGCACACAGAATGCTTTTTTCTCAATGTTCTGTATTGTTGGATCACCCCCATTGAACAACCTTTTGAGAGGACCCCCATTTTTACTAATGTAAACATTCTGATGAGTATCCAAAGAAATGACCTTTGAGTGAACCTCTAACCTTCCCAGTAATTATTTGTTTGAAGACAGTGTGAAGTTCTCCTGCTGAGAACTAAGAACCATGATGCCTTGCAGCCCTGTGAGTGAGTGAGTGTTTGAGGGAACAGGAGAGAAAAGCATAAATAAAGGAACAATCTCCAGATGTAAATAATAAAGGAATAAGAGAGAGGAAATTTAAAAGGGGGGCAGCAATTTGTATCACCTAAAAGGTTGACCTACAAGAGAAAACAAAAAAACAACCCACCACACAACAGGATTGGCTGCACATGAGCAGAGGAACTGCCCCTCTCTACCAGAAACATCAAGACAGAGCAAAAGCGCGTGCTCTGGGCATCTCTTGGTCAGAACTGACCCTTTGAGAAGAGCCCCTAGAAGGAGAAATAAGAAGCTGGCCCTCCTAGGCCTCAGATAAATTCTTTTAACTGATAGGAGGGTTGCTTCAGGAAGTCTTTGTGATCTGATCAGCAACATTTCAGAGGACGGGGTAAATACATAGCTTCAACTCTCCTTTTTCGGCTCTCTATACTTACAGTAGCCTGACACTTCCCTTCCCGAAAGCCAAGGGGTGGAACATTTTTGACAAGGGAGACATCTTTTCTTAAGTACTAAAGAAGTTCATTGTTTTGCAAACAGCATATGCAAAAGACTCCTTTGGTTTTCTCCTGGCTATTATTCATCAGCCTGACTATATTCTTACCAGAGAACTCACAGGAGGCTGTGTGTGCTCACTGTCCTCCTCCAAGGGACTTAACTCCCAATACTTGAGAATTCTTTGGAGAATGTACTTTCAGGTCCTGCCTGGAGCCCCATGTGGATTTGTTAATCATTAAGTCCCCCATATGCTTAAGGTTGGAAAGTAGGGATGCTGAGAAACAAATGTTATCAATAGGAAACATTTTGAAGGACCAGCTAGCAGTATGCTACTGAGCACCCGCCCCTCCCGAGCCTAGTGCAAGGCCACTGAATCTTTCCCAGAAGTTCGTACATGTGGGAGATACCATCATTAAAGGCATGGGGACAGGGGTAACTCGCAAATGGTAGAAAATTGTTTTGTTTTTATTAAATTTGGAGAAATAAAGGAGATTTCTTATTGTCTTACTCTGTTTGTACATGAATATTTGATGGGCATTATTAAACATTAAAGTAACATGAAGTAGGCACTTATTTTTGGATTTCCAACAAAATTAGATCCAGGCTTCTTAGACAAAATAACCACTGCTCCTTACATTCCTGGGAATCAGCGACCGCCTGATTTGAAAACGTTTCCCGGGCCCTAATATCAACCATGTGGACCCGAGGCTGGCTTTCGAGTGGGTTGAAAGGTGGCTGAGTTTATGGTTGGCAGTTAGCTTATCCACTGCCCTGGGTGTCCCAGCTTTGGCTGCAAAGGCCGCCCCCAGCTGGCACTGACCTCTGAGTGACCCCTAACTTTACAGGCTTAAGCTGCAGGAGTTGCCCCAAGACCAGAAGTCTTTGGGCCAGCACTTATTACTGCTGTGTTGGTGATAAAACTTCAGACAGCCTAATTGATGGCTTTGCTGACCTAACAATACCTTGTGAAAGCCGAGTGCGAGAGCCTGGCCTTCATTTATGGCCAGCTGCAAGGGAAGCTGAATCTCCCCGGGATGGATGGGGAGTCCTGGGAGAGGGGCAGATCTTCCAGCCTGTGAGCTGCGACCTGGAACCTACTTGTTCCAAAAGCAAGCACACCCGCAGAAAGGAGACGCTTTCTCCCAGAGAAGTCTTGTCCCTCTCTGAAAATTAGTAGCAAGTTGTCTTGCTGTTGACTCTGAGATGACAAGGGAGGGGCACAGTCCAGTCGGCTGGTTTTTAAAGCACACTGAAGGGCCAAGTTGCCTGTCCATTAAGTGGATGGTTTGCAGCAGGTATTGGATTGTGACGTGCCCTCCCCAGTGCTCACAAAAGCTGTTCATAGAACACTCAGACTGGGCTTGGTAAACCCTACCCTTTTCTTCTGTTTCAGGTTTATCAATGCCAGGAGAAGGATAGTACAGCCCATGATTGACCAGTCAAATCGAGCAGGCAAGTTTTAACATGTATCTATATCCACATCCCATGGGCACAAATCCTCCTCAAGTTCTCCTTCAAGACTCTATCTCATCACCTGGTAAATAAGTACTTCCATCAGGCATTCTGGGAGAATTTTTTTTTTTAATGTCCCCAGAATTCCGCTCTAGGAAGCAACTTCGCTAATTGGTGCTAATTGGAGATTTCCCACCCCGACTCTCCTGAAACCGCTTTTGCTTTCCTTTCTGAATTGGTAATTGGGCACAAGTATTCGTGCCACAAGCAGTTTGTTTGACTGTGAACTCTGGAATTACTCCTTGCCTGTCTGCATCCAGTCATTAGCACACTCTCATTTTCTTGTTACCCACAACTCCTTGGTGTGTGCTGTGCTCTCTCCACCGGAACGTACACGGTTAAATTCATTGTATCCATGCATTTGCTTTGACTATTCATAATATTCTATTAAAGCCTGACATGCGTAGCCGGCGTTATTTTTTATTAAAAGATTATTACCTTTGTTTAAAATGCATCACATCCATCCCACTGAAATACATGAGGGGTTTTCTCACAATGTCTCTCCATTTCTCTAAAACAGTTATTATACAGGGCTGTCAGAGCCATCCCCATGTACTCCTGAGCATTTTGCTCAGAAATTGGCATGCCCTTAGTTTGCTGAAGAGGTGTGGTCTCCCTAACAAGGTTCATAGGAAAAAAAAATCAGTTTTCCTTGCAATGACTGTGTCATTCACAAAGATGTTTAACTTGATGGGGACTCTAACTCTGACCTTCATTTAAACAATTTATGACAATTATTCCTCTTTCAGAAAAATTCCCTCAATAATGCTAAAGTACTCTACTTGTGAAGGCCAGGAAGTCCATTGCCAAAAGAAATAAGACAATTGAGTCAGGCATGATGGTACATGCCTT